ACATAAATTCTGAGGACAATCCTGTGCTATGTTTGTTGCTTTTTAACACTTTCAAGAGGACTTGAATGTTCAAAACACACACTTGAGGGCCTGAAGGAAAAATGACAGACCTTTTCAGACAGCCTTGCTGCTGCTCTCACAGCTAGATAAACACAGCCTCACAGAAGAGAGCTGTCAAAAAATGCAGTCACATTCCACACCCATGCTACCCTCATCTGAAGAAGTGGGCAATGCCCACAAAAGCTCATGATACCAGCTACATGTTTTGTTAGTCTTTACAGTGCTACCAGACTATTTGTTGTTGTTTTAAGTTTACGCTAATGAAAAGAATGAAAAAGTGGCACTGGTAATCCAGTAGGTGGTGCTCTTCCTTCTGAATTAACGCCCCAGCCTGGTGCTAACAGGGCATTCCAACAGGGTCAAGATACAGCCAAATGCCAAGTCTGACCTGTTGCAATGGCAGTCAGTATGCGTTCCTGAAAGCTGAAAGCTGTTACCCTGTTTTGCTCCAGAGGTGCCTACATTTCAGCAGTGGATGAAGTGACCACTACGCAGAGTCTTGAAACATTTTGAAATTAAAGGCTCCATAAGCAAACCCATTCAGAACTGGGGAATATATTAAGTAGCAGCACTGAATGGGGGTCTTGGTTCTTTTTGGCTTCTGGCCTGTGAGTTAGCAATGGAACAAATTCTGATTTACAAAAAAAAAAAACCCAGAAAGGTGAAAGTGCAAGAGAACTTCACTGGTACAACTCATCCCGTTTGACAAACTGACAAATGAGTCCTTTTCTCTCGATCAGGTCCACTCTTCCAATGGCTTATTTTAGCTACGGTAGCCCCTTTCAACCAAGGTTGCATAAAATGTCTGGCTACAACCCAGTCAAAATGCCCAAGATGGGTCACTTACTCTTATGAGTGAAAAAAGCTGACAGAATCCACTCCTTTGAGTAATCTTGGCCATTATATCACTGCAGCTTACCCCATCTATATTTAAATCTCTCACCACTTCCTTCAGGGAGACTGTTCTTCAGTCTATTCAGCCTACATTTCTTTAAACTTCATCCCACTACTCCTAGTGATGTTCCTGTGTCTAGGGATAGATGAAAGGTGGAAAGAGATATCCATGACCAAGCTGCCTACATGGTGAGAAAATGCAGAGATAATACAAGAGTTTGCATTTCAAGAGCCAAAATAGAGCTCTGCCACAGCACAGGTGCTAGGTGGGTACAGACATCACTGGACTGCAGAGCTACCAGGATACAGGCTACTCTGAGGGAGGTCTCCCTCCATATCTCCTGTAGAGGCTACTCCATTTTGTATTAAAAACACTTGAACAGTCATTGGGCCAGAAAAAGAGCATGAGGACTTGATAGGAAGCGATGTATATGAAGTGGAACAGCTCCGACAAGTGAGACTGAGAAAGGTGCAGCCTGTAGCTTTAAAATTAGGGCACTCACCTAGGGAACGAAGAGATCACAATTCAAACCCCTTCTCCAGAACAGGGATCTGAACCTGGGTCCCCACATGCCAGTTGAGGGCCCTGCCTACGCAAGAAGAGAGGGGCAAGGCACAGGTTTGCCTTTTTACTTCTGAGACACTGCATTTTTGACAGCCTGTCATCTAATTTGCCAACAGTGTCAGGTCAATTAAACCTGCATTTTGCCACAAACCTCTCATTTGAAAAATTTCACCCAGCTCTCCTAAAGAGTCCTAGTTAGCTACAGGGCGCATGACAGCCCCAGAGGCACACAGCTCTAAGAGAATGCTGTCAGCACTCAGACAGGGATAAGGGCAGAATCCAGAGCCCCAAGTCCCCCCGCTCAAATCCACCAGAGCCAGAAACAGAACCTAGGTGGCCTGCCCCTCAACTTACCTCTCTAACCTCTAGACCCTGCTCTCCTCCCAATGCCAGGGAGAGGAGTCAGGCGCCATGCTTCCCCCCAGCTCTAACCACTAGACCCTGCTCTCCTCCCAATGCCGGGGAGAGGAGCCAGGTCTCATGCCTCCCAGCCCCCCTGCTCTAACAACTAGACCTCACTCCCCCCAGTCCCCCTGCTCTAACCACTAGACCTCACTCCCCCCCAGCCCCCCTCCCTCGCTCTCCACCCACTCCAGGGACAATTTAAACCCCTTCCAGCCAAGGAAAGAATTCGACAGGATAGGATGA